AATACAAGTTTTTTTGGTTTCTTTCTCACATTAAAGATATTTCTAAACAATAACCAAGAAGGGTATATTTTGATATATATATATATTAATCACTTTTCACTAGTGATATATGTAATTTTGTAAAAAATATATTTTTTACAATTTTAGGGATAAAAAAGAGTTTCTAATAATCGCCACAAATTTTGATCATAATAAAACAAACATAGGTCTTATTTTGAACTTGAAACACTTTTCAATATAAAATCAATCGGTGGATATCAATACTTTGTTTGAAAATTTTTTTAAAAAAATCTTGAATGATTGGTTTTTAACAAATGATTTTTTGATAAAATTATTATTTTTATATAAGATAATCAGATATTATATTTATTATTATTGATATTTGTTAGTAATAGAATGGAACTCTTAATGTATTTCTAAAATTGTAAAAAATATATTTTTGACAAAATTCCATATTTGCACTTGTGTTAAGTGATTAATAAATATATCAAAAATATACCCTTCTTGGTTATTGTTTAGAAATATCTTTAATGTGAGAAAGAAAATAAAAAAAAATCGTTTTTTTTTTCAATAAAAATATTGGTTTTTTTGGAATTAATTCATGACCCCAGCTTAATTAGAAGCTTAATATTGAACATTTTTTATTAATATTTTTTAGTATTTCAGTTTTCTAAGATTATCCATAAAAGAACCCTTTAAAAAATCACCAAGTTATATCTCATAGTTCAATGAAGTTATAATCAAATGATTGGAGTTTTAGTAATCTAAATAATTTTTAAAAAATTATGAATCAAATTTATATGAAGGTCATCAAGCACAAAAACGATCTTAAAAAAAGGAATTAATCGTTATCAAATTAGAAGGAAAATCGGATTCTCTCTTACGTTCAAATTTTGAAATGTTTTGACTTTGAACTTTAAAAAAAAATGGATTATGAAATTTCACTAAGAAAAATATTTTTTTTAATGGTCAAGGGATGCTATGATATACAACACCGGTGATCTAAAAACCGGTTTAATTAATATTAAATGAAAAATTTTTTATTGGGAGAATTAAATAAATTTTGAAATTTTGAAATAATATAATATTCCAATTTACAAAAGTGTAAAATTACAATCTCAGAAATACAAAATATATACAAAAAAAATGTTTAATTGTAATTTTGTATTTTACCAATTAGGTATCTTTTTTTTAGAAAACTTAAGATAATAAATAAAAAATTGTAAATAAAAAAGTCCAAAAATAGTAATAAAATATCTAAATTCAAGTACATAGTGCCCCACTCTTTGGAGTCTGTGGTATGCCACTTTATTAATCACATTTTGTTAAAAGTTTCTTTATTATTGATAATCTTTATATCGGGTTTTTACCCCCCCTGTTTCAGGAAGAGTATATTTTTTAATGTGGCCATGTAAATGATATTATAATTATGTACTTTAATATTTTAATTATTTTTCTTCTTCTCTTTTTTTATTGAGTAAATGTTCTTTGATTACTCCTTTCTCTCAATAAATAAATAAATTAGGTTTCTTATTTCATGATTTTAATTCATTATGTTTTTTATTTTTTTTTTGAATTCCACTTTTCAAAAAATACAAAATATGAGAACGTTGATATTTTAGATAATAATTCAGTTAAAAAATTGACTTTTGTACTATTAATATTTTTTTTTAGAAACTAGTTAATTTAACTCAACAAAATTCCCAAATTTTGGACACCGTTTAAACAGTTGAAAGAATAACAATACTATAGTTTATATTTAATTTAGATATAATTTTGATTTTACAAACAAAATCTTTTTTGGTCTTTTTTAATTTTGATATCATTTCCTTTTTTGTAGTTACCTAATCTATTTGGTTAGATCGGTAATTTTTTTTTTTTCAATATTTGATAGAGGGTTGGTGTTGAGTTTGTTAAATAGAAAAATCACATTCAATTGGTCTATGGTATCTAATCATCTGATCGATCGTCCTTTTTTGGTGAAATTTCAACAAATTTATAAATATTAGCTTTTTTTAATAAAGTAGAGGAAATTTATTTTAAAATATATCTTTTAAACTCAATATTGAAAAAAGTATTAAAACATCCACAATCGTTAATTACTTTTAAAAGATTCTTGATAATAATTCAATTTGTATTTTAGTATTGTATTACATATATAAAAGATATTAAAATTTCTGATCTCGATTATACCAAATATTTTTAGCACTGAAAATTTTTGTTTATGATTTTATTTTTGATTGAAAAAACGGTTTTCATAAAAAGTTTATTCCCAACAAATTTCCAAATAGAATTGAAAATATATAACTCCATTTTATTGTTTAAAAAAAATCATATGTGACCCTTTCAATATTTCCAGTTTTTTATTGAATTTGGCCGTACATTGTTTTCACCAAAAAAAGTGCTATTTTTTTTTCATTTTTTGGAAATATTTTATCAAATATATTTTAAAATAAATACCTTATTCATTTAAAAAATCATTATTAATCTTAAATGTAATATGGTAATTTCAATTAATGAATACTTTCACTAGCAAAGATGATTTTTTATGAAAATGAAAAAACAACTACCTGACTTTTTGGAAATGCCTTGATATTCCTTTGTAATAAAAAAAAATGAAAATCAATTTTGCCCTCAATGTTTTAAATATAAACCTAAGAAAATAATAGAAAAGATTGATAATTTTTTGTGGATCTTTCCTTCCGATGAAAATAATAAAATAAAATTCAAAATTTTCCACAGAGCTAAATCATTCCAAACAATCAAAACAATACAATTTCATTGAAATTGGAAATATTTTTAATTTTTGTAAAATATGAAAATCATTTTTTCATCTTTGAGTTTTTTTTTTTCATTCTATATTTGAATTACTTAACTTATTTCGTTCGATCAAAATTTTTTTTCAACAATTGATATTATGTTAAAGTTGAGTTGTTCAAAACAGAAGAACCCAAATAAAATTTGTTGGTAGTATCTAACCATTTGATCGATCAATAATTTCTAATAGAATTTAAACAAATTTACTAATTTTTTTTTTGCTTTGCTCTCTCCAAAATTTTTAAAACACCCATGATTTATTTGTATTGATAATTATTTATTTTTTGTTTTGTGATTATTTTATTTTATAAACAAATGTTAACAGTTCAATCAGTGAATGACTTGCGTTTGGTATTTTTTCTTGAATTGATTAAATAATTTTTTTTTTTTCACAAATCGAATTCTGGTGTGTTAAAAATTTTGAATTGTGGTTTAGCTTAAACGTTTTGTTCTGCTCGTTTCATTATTATTTACATAGCAATTTTTATTTTTATTGTTTTATATTTTTTTTATTTTATTTGGATGAAAATGATTACTTTTAAAAAAATTAATACTTGGTAACTTAAATATGTTATTATATTAAGTTTTAAAAAAAATATAATAAATTGAGGGTTTTTATCATTGTTGATTTTGGGATTTGTTCAAAATTTTTGGAATGGGGTTTATTATGTAATTAAAAATATTGATTGTTTTTTCATTTTGTTATCAACCCCCACCACTTTTATTATTTTTCTATTTCCAAAAAAAAGGGATGTATATATATTTCATAAAAAATCCTCTTTTTTGATGGGTTTTTTTTTTAACTTGGACATATCAAATTATGTGAAATATTAATACTTATTAAATTATAATTGGTTATATTTCAAAATATGTTCATTTAAAGATTTCCAATTAATAGATATAAAAATGCACTTTTTTGATAAGTTCGGATAAAAAAAATTGATGTACAATTTTAATAAAAAATTGGAAATATGGTAAGGAACCAAAAAATTTTTTAAACTAAAAATAGAATTATAAGTTTTCATTCTATTGGAAAAATTGAAATTAAACAAGTTTAAATTTCTTCGGAAAACAATTTTTGAATTAAAACGAAAAAATAATCAGCACTTTTTCATTATTAAAAGTATAATATGAAATTATAATCAAAAAATTTAATATCTTTTATTTTAGTAATGAATTACAAAAAAAAAAAACTATGAAATTATTCAGAATCAATAAATGATTGTTGGTAATTTTTTATCTTTAGATGGTTTTATGAGAATAAAGTTTATTCGAGATTTTTTGAAACAAATTAGTAAGCCTTTTTTAAAATAAATAAAATTCCAGTTAACGTCTGGAGGTGGACATAGTTGTTATGAGTGAATTACGTATGTTTATTGAGTTTGCAAAGATATTAGTAGAAAAAATTTATTTTGGAAATTTTCATAATTGACAACTTTTTTTGGTTACTTTTTCTTATTGTTTCTTTTTTTTTTTTCCTTTTTTCCACATTTTTGTACATTTTTTTTGAGATTTTTTTTTTTGAAAATTAAGGTATTTTTAAAACTGTTTTTTTTTTTTGCAAAACCAATAGTCATGGAGTAAAAATATGTTCCTTTATTGTTATTTGGATATCGAAAATGAGTGAAGGGAAATCTAATTTATTTTTATTATAATTTTCTTTGATCTTCAATTGTGAATCATAAAGAACCTTGTTGTTTTTAAAATGACACTTTACGATTTTTTTTTCTTGAAAAATATTTATTTGAATCTTGATTAAAAGAAATAGGTTGATTTTTTATAAATGGTTCAGAAGTTTGAAACATTTTAGTTGGGTTATCATATTTTAGTGTGGTTTGTTTGGTAATTTTTTGTCATCAAAAAAAAGTATTTTTGAATTTTATTTTTTTAAAAATAATGATAGATTTTAAAATATATTAAAATTTATGATTTATGAAGTTGATCATTTTTGTAAAGAATATTTTAATGTTTGTTTTGATCTGTAATTTACATTTTGAGATTTGTAAAATTGCGAATATTTATAAAAAATTAATTTGGAAATAAACGAAAATCATAAATTGCATAAATTAAAAATTAACAAAAAAAATTTTTCTATTTGATCTTTTACTATTTGTTATTAAAAAAATGAAAGAACAACTGTCAACCAATACTCCAAAATACTCGAAATAAAAAAAAAGAAGTGGTGGTTCTACTAGGAATCGAACCTAGGTCTAGAGAATCAAAACCTCTCATGCTGCCATTACACCATAGAACCTTATACATTTTTTTACTCATTTTAGAATTGTTTAGTTAAAAAATAAAGACGCAAAAACCATAATCTTATTTTTTAATATTCCATAATTTTCAAAATAATTACAAACATAAAATCAGAACACATACAATATCTTCAACAGAACGTCAACAATCAAAACAATTCCTATTATCAAAATATTTATATACTGTAGATAAAATAACCCTTACGAAAAATCAGAGTATGTTTCAAAAAACAAAAAACCTCTTTTTTTGTTATAGAAGACTTATACATTAACCAATCAAAGAAACTGCTAATAAAGCCTAAAAAAATATGGTATTGGTTTCTTGAAGTTCTATTATTTAAAAAGAAATTCTAAAAATGAAGGATCAACATGTAATTTTTATCTCAAAAAATAGAGTTAAATTTTCAGATATAAAATTTTAATCATAAAAAAAACAAAAAATTTCAAAAAAATTTTTAATATTATGGAAAATTTTCAACTATTTACATGATAAATTCAAATTTCACTACAAATAACCTGACCTTGTCTTTCAAAACAGATTTTAACTTGTGTATACTATTTGATAGTAGATTGGATGTTGCCTTGATACAAGAAGGAAAAAAAATCATGGATAATATTTTGAAACACCGATTATTGTCTTTGTGCACGTATTATTTTGATCACTGTACATAATTTCAAATCAAATTTATTATACAACAACGATCAATCTACCAAATTTACCAAATTTACCAAACACTTAAATAACATAATGTAGGTCAAATAAAGAGAACTTAATAAACAATAAAATAAACAATTGAATAACTTTCACAAAAAAATATATATCAACAAACTAAAACGATAATCATCTACTAAGGAGAAGCTTAAGATTAAAGTGTGTTTGTAATTAGTTGTAAACCAAATCAGTATTTTATGATACAGTGTCTCTAAAAATTCTATTAGTAAAGGAGTTATATTTGTTGATACTCATCAATTAAAAATGATCCATGGTATTAGTTAAAAACCTAACAATTTCAGAAAAAGATCTGGATTGTGACAAATTAAAATCATAAATCATCAACACTCAGACTCCATTGTTTCATAATATCTTTCTTTTTTTGTCACCAAATTTCGATCATTTGCAAAAAAATACAGTTTTTTTTTCAATAATTAAACCTTCAAAAAAAGATTCATTTTGTCTTTTGTTTGAATTGAAATCTTATCAATATATTGAAAATAATGTTAGCTTTTTAAAAAGTATTAAAAATAATTAATTCTAATGTTTGTATCCCTTAGAACAACCAATATCCTAATTACTTTTGAAACAAAATTTTAAATTTCAATTTTTATCACATGATTATTAGATATAGAATTTATAAACAATTATCTTCGAAAGAAAAATTTATAATTAAAAATTATATAGTAACCTATAATAAAAAAATAACTTGAAAATTAATTTTTTACCAATTGAAAAATTACTATAGGTACTTGTGATTTTATTATTTTTCAATTGTAGTTTTTTCGATTAAAAAATATTTTTTTTGAAAATTTTGTTGAAACATCAAAAAAATCTTATTTTTAATGATTAAAACACCTCATACTTCACTGAAAAATTTTTTTGGGGAATCCTTTGTATCACAATATTACCTAAAATTCTTTAATAAATAATTTATTCATTACAAAAGATATTTTGACATCACATAGAAAATTTGTTTCATCAACTAATTACCATTTAATAAAAATTTATATATTTGGTTCTTAATAATGTAAAAAATAATAATATTTTTGTTCATTGTAAAATTTGAAAATAAATAATAAGATTTTTCGTTGTAAAATTGTGAAATAAATTCAAAAAGAATTTTTTTTAAATTTTGATGATTTGTCCAATAGTTCAAGTCGGATTTAGAATTGATTTTTTTTTTTTAATTTTTTCTATTTTTTAATTTTTTACTTTTTAAAATCTAAATTCTTTTTCAGTCAAAGGGGTCCAGTTTTATTGAAGAAATGGAAGACATTCTATGAGTTTAATTCATTGTTCTTATCAAACTAATATTTTCAATTTTTAGATCAAAATCATTTTTTCTCATTTTGTAATTTTTTTTTTTTTTTTTTTACTTTTTGCTTTTTTTTTTTTATTTTTTTTTTTTTTTCTTTTTTATTTTTTTTTAAAAATTTACTTTGAAAAAAAAAATGTTTGAAAAACCTATTAAACATTAAGAAAAGTTAGACTTTGGAGATTCTTTTAAAATTCAGATATTTACAAGTAAAAAATCTTATTATCAACAATTTTAATTTCCTAAAGAAATTGAGAATTTTGCACGAGACTTTCAATGAATTTTACCGATAAATTTTTTTAACATTTTTTTTTTTTTTTGAAATTTATGGTTTGTTCAGGGTTTTCTTTTATAATTATCGACTCTTATATGTAGTTTATTATTTCTCATATTTCTAAACAAATCTAAGTTTGGTTGATTCTTAAAAATAAAGTTACTTTTTCATTTTTGGTTGAGCCCCTTTGAGTGAAATGGGGTATATATACAAAATAAAAAATATTATTGATTAATAGAACATAGATCACAATATTATTTTTTAATATCTGTATTAATTTAGATTGAAAAAATCAAATTTTACAAATATTTTATTCAAATTTTTACTAATAACAAAATTCAAAAAAATATTATTCGTTTTGAGGATTATTTTATTATCTTTTAATCATATTTAAAACTTATTTTATATTTTTTTAAAAAAAATTTAATTTTGATTGTTTTATCTATTAAAAAGTTTTTTATTGATTTAATTCCAATGTAATAAATGAAATTATTTTTCAATTTTTTTTTTCATTTTTTTTTTTTTCAAGGTTTTTATCTTGCTTAAATTGAATTTTTATTTTCTTATTCATATTAAACTTTTAATCTTGGCCTAAAGAAATATATTTCATTTTTTCTCTGGATTTAATATTTATTGGAATTTTTTCTTAAAAAAAAATGAGAATTTCTCGGTAATATATATATATATATATATATATAATTTATTCTGTTGAACTTAAAATTAAAAAATTTGTCTGATTTGTTATTATCAATAAAGTAATGTATTGATATTTGGATGAATATTATTGTAATAAAATTTCTTATTTCAAAAATTAAAAAATAATAAAAAAACTTTAAAAAAAATGTTAAAATGAATTATTATTATTATTTTTGATATTGGAAAAAATAATAATAAGAGTAAATACATAACTACTTAATCTTTAAACTATTTTAATTTTTTATTATAATTAAAATCTGGGTTAAAGAAGAATAAGGAGAAAAAATATATTTTATACATCAATATGATTTGAAATCTTTTCTTTAAAACTTGATGAAATTTGGGTAAATTGGGGGTGTTAGAGGAGATATATATATACATATACATATATATATATAAACTAGATTCCAAAAATTTGGGCACAGTTTAAACAGTTGAAAGAACATCATTACTATACTTTAAATTCAATTTTAGAAAAAATTTTGATTTAACAAACTATTTCATTTTTTGTCTTTTTTGTTTTGTTTTCATTTGCTTTTTTGTATGTTAGGTAATCTGTTTCGTTAGATCTAATTTTTTTTTTCAATGGCCGATAGAAAGTTAGTGTTGAGTTTGTTAAATTGGGAAATCAAATACAATTGGTAGATGGTATCTTATCATTTGATCGATCAACAATTGTTGGTGAAATTTCAACAAATTTACCAATGCATTTTTTGTTCAGCTCGTTTCATCATTTTGGACACACCTGTTTTTATTTTTTAGTTTTGATTTTTTTTTCTTTTATTTGGATTAAAAAGATTACTTATAAAAACATTAATACCTTGTAACTTAAATGTAGTTTTATATTAGGTTTGGGAAAATACAATAAATTGGGTTTTTTTTTGCCTATTTTGGGTTTTGGGTGTGTTCAAATTTTTGGAACAGGGTTTATATATATAACTAAGCCAAATTTCAAAATTAGGGGTAAACTTTATTATTATTATTATTTTCTTCTTTGATTTGTCTTTCAAAAAACAAGATGTTTACACCATATTTTTATTTATTCATCTATATTGGATATTATCTCTAAAAATTTAGAAAAATACATTATTATTCAAAAAAAAAAACAATTAAACAAATTTTTTTCTGATAAAAAATCTTTGCGTTTTTTAAAATTAAGCTTATAACATTTTTTTTTTTCAAATTTTACCAAGCTGAATTTTATTTATATTCGGAAGAAACATTATAAGGTAAATAGATAAAGTGGTTACCTTCTTAAAATTAGATACTGAAACGGATAAAAGTGGGAAACTTGAAAATAACAAAGAAGCAAAGGCAAAAGAAAATCAAAGATTTAATACAAATCAGATCAAAAAGAAAAAAAAAAGAAATTATAACAAATTAAACAATGAATCCCCAAAATAACATTCATGATTAAATTATCAAATTTATAAAATGAACCAAACGTATTGCGATTGTGATTTTGGGAAGTCCTAAAAAATGGAAGGTATTGTATTTTTTGATTTTTTCACTGATTACTAATTATAAAATCTTTTTAATTTTTTTTTTTTTTTAATTTTGTTACTTTTTTTTTTTTCTTTTGAATTTTTTTATTTTTCTTTTTAACTTTAAAGAAATTTTGGAAATACATATCCTTTGTACCAATAATCATGAAACCATGGATTTTACACTGAAATTACATTTGACAAAATTGGTAATATAATTTTAGATTACAATTTACGCTTCTTTGTTGATAATAATAATAATAGTATCAACTTTATTTCTGTCAAATTCCCAACATTAATCTCAAATATCAATTATTTTTAAAATTAACCTTTGGAAAAAAAAATAAAAAATTTACAAATAATAAAAAAACTGAATGGTGGGTATCCATATGGAATAAATCTATTAAACCAAATTTTTTTTTTAAGGGACTATTCTCTATTATTTTTTTTGACCAATTTATAATAAGTTTTACTTAACTAGAAATATGTTTAATATTGTAAATAAGCATGGGGTT